AAAACATGATTATGTCACTAGATGCTGAAAAAGTCTTTGATGAAATCCAACCCTCTTTCATGGTAAAGGTTTTGGAGACATCCCAGATAACAGGAACTTACCTTAGCTATATACAGCAAATCAACAGACAACATCAAACTAAATGAACAGAAACTCAACTTGATTCATTTAAAATCAGAAACAAGACAAGGCTGTCCATTCTCTCCATATCTTTTCAATATTGTTCTTGAAGTTCTAGCTAAAGCAATATGACAACAAAAAGAGATCAAGGGGATACAAATTTGAAAGGAAGAGTTCAAATTTTCACTATTTGCAGATGATATTACAGTTTACATAATTGACCCAAAAAACTCTACAAAGATTTCCTACAGCTGATAAATACTTTCAGCAACGTGGCAGGATACAAGTTCAACTCTAGAATATCAGTAGCCATACTTTATACATACTTTAGCCATAATTTATAAATGGGCTGTGAAAGAAATCAGAGAAACATCACCCTTTACACTAACCACAAACAACATGAAATATTTGGGTTAACCCTAATCAAACAAGTGAAAGACCTGTATCACAAGAAATTTTTGTGTTTAAGGAAAGAAATTGAAGAAAGTACCAGAAAATGGAAAGAGCTCCCATGCTCTTGGATAGGTAGGGTCAACACAGTAAAATGGCAATCTTGCCAAAAGCAGTCTACAGTTTCAATGCAATCCTCATTAAAATCCCAGCACAATTCTTCACAGATCACGAAAGAAAGAATAATCTACATTATATGGAAGAAATAATCAGGATTCCCAAAACAACCTTATTCATCAAAGCAACATCCGGAGGCATTACCATCTCTGATTTCAAGCTCTATTATAGAGCTATGGTCCTGAAAATGGCTTGGTATTGACACAAAAATAGGCATGTAGATGAATGGAATCGAATTGCACACCCTGATATTAATCCATATGTGTATGAACATCTGATCTCTGACAAAGAATCTAAAAAAGTATAGTGGAAAAAAGAAAGCATGTTCAACAAATGGTGCTGGCACAACTGGATTATGGCATGTAGCAAAACGCAGATAGATACATGTCTATCGCCATGCAGAAAACTTAAGTCCTAATGAATCAAAGAATTCAACATACATCCAGCCACATTGAATCTCTTAGAAGAGAAAGTTGGAGGTACCCTTGAATGAATTGGTACATGAGACAGCTTCCTGAATATAACACTAGTAGCACAGACACTGAGGTCAACAATTAATACATGGGACCTCTTGAAATTGAGAAGCTTCTGTAAGGCAAAGGACAAAGTCAACAAGACAAAAAGGCAGCACACAGAATGGGAAAATAGTTTGACTTACCCATATCTAACAGAGTACTGATCTCCAAACTTTACAAAGAAATCAAGAAGCAAGTCTGCAAAACACCAAATGATCCAATTAAAAAGTGGGATAAAGGAATAAATTGCAATTCCACTTGTAGGTATATACCCAAAAGATGCACATTCATACAACAAGGATGCCTCTTACACTACATTCGTAGCAGCATTATTTGTAATAACCAGAACCTGGAAGCAACCAAGATGCCCCACAACTAAAGAGTGGATAAAGAAAATGTGGTACATTTAAGCAATGGAGTACTATTAAGCAGGAAAAAACAATGGAATCTTGAAATTTGCAGACAATTCAATGGCACTAGAAAGAACTATCCTGAGTGAGGTAACCCAGTCACAAAAAGAGAAACATTGTATGTACTCACTCTTATATGGAATTTAGACATGGATCCAGGGAGTACCATCATACAATCCTACTGGCAGAGATTCTGGGAAACAGAACCTTCAAACAATGACTGATGGAATCCGAGGGAGACAAAAACAAACACTGAACTGAAGGAACCCAGAGACAGAGAGGGAGGACTGATGAGTATAGGGGTAAAAACTGGGCTTGTTTAACTCACAGAATCAGATGAACTGAAAAGGGGGGAGCTCTTGAACCCCAGACTGATGCCTGGGAATCCAGCATGGAACTGATCAAAACCCCTAAATGTGAGTGTCAGTGAAGAGGCCTAGGAAATCTATGGGGCTTTGGGTAGTTGATCAGTATTTATCTGTGGCATGCAAATACACTTTGGGTGCCCATCCTACAAAGAGAAATGAACTGTCATCCTAGATTCTTGAGGAAGGTTCTAGGACCAGCCCTGGATGCAAAGACAGAATATGAACACCCCCCCATGGAGTGCTTCACCCTCCCAGGGGAAAGTGGTTTGGATTAGGAGGTTGGAGAGGTTAGTGTGAGGGCCTGTGACAAGGGGAGGGAAATGGAGAGAGACCTGTGATTGACATGTGAAGCAAACTTGTTTCTAATTTAAATTTAAAAATAATAAAATAAAAGGAGTTGCTAAATGAGTGAGTACCAGTAATCTGGGACCATCTCCCTGATTGCTTATTCATTTGGTTATCTTCCCTACACTTGTGTGTATGAGTAACACTAAAGCAGCTTGGCTGTGTGTACTTATAGGTTGTGTGCGGGGGGGGGTGTAGGTGTGTGTGTGTGTGTGTGTGTGTGTGTGTGTGTGTGTGTGTGTGAGAGAGAGAGAGAGAGAGAGAGAGACTGCTAAGGAATCGATCATAAAATTGAGTAGGAAAGGGCAAGAGAGTATTTGGAGGAGGGAGAATATGGGATGAAAAAGATACCAGTGCCTAATTCATAAAATCCTCACATGGTTCTTTAAAAAACTGGATAGGTCAGCAGGATGCCTCAGTATGTAAAGTCACATACTAAGCATGGTGAGTTGAGATTGATCTCTAGGACATGCATGGAGGAGAACACATCACAGACACAGAATTTAATTTGATTCTTTCCCTTTCTGTTTCTCTCTCTTTCTTTCTTTCTTTCTTTCTTTCTTTCTCTCTCTCTCTTTCTTTCTTTCTTTCTTTCTTCTTTCCATCGTTCCTGTCTGGATTTTTTCACTTTTTTGAGGTTATGAGATGTAACTTTAGTTCTCCTGGAACTCACTTTGTAGATGAGGCTAACCATCAACACAGAGATTTGCCTGCCACTGCCTCTCCAGTGGTGAGATTAAAGGTGTGTACCAACTTTCTCAGCTTCATTTGATTTCTAATTGAATCGTTTCTCCGGATTTTTCCCTCAAGTAACCTTGATATAACAATTGCTCCTTCCTTCTGTATCTTCGTTCCATTCATTGTTAGAGGCCCTGTTTTTTCCCCACTGGGGTAGAAGCTAATCATAGGCAATGGTGACATAAAAATCCTGATACTGCATCCCTCTCTCATTGGCTGCCGACGTGGCAGTCCTGCACATGTGCCCAGGAGATGTCATAGAGACCAGTCTTTGCACAGTGGTTCCCTGCTTTTGGGAAAGGAAATTTAAAAAATATAACACAAATTAATAAAAAACCCAGAGAAAGATATTGGGGTTCAACCTGCAAACTGAATATCAGAGAAGCATAGTAGCCAAGTAACTAGTTCTTTTTCTATCTCAGGCTGAAGGGTGATCTGTCTCCATGATCTCTCCTCCACACCTAACACTGCTTTCTCACATCAAACTGGCTTAAGAATAGATCCACACCTGAGACTATTTGCTTTTGGTGTTTACTTAGTGCTGTGATTGAAGAAGCGGGATCCCTAGTGCTGAGATCACCTTCCTATGAGCTGTTTATCTTTCAGACTGATTCAAGCTTGTGCAGCCATGGGTGGCCTCTGACTCACAGAGATCCTTTTCACCTGATTCAATGGATTAAAGATGTGTGCCAACTCTGCCTAGCTTGTACAGCTGAGTAGTATGGCTGTCTTTGAATTTTGATCCTTCAGGTATTCTTTATTAAATTATTAATAATATATCAGCACATAAATGGTTTTTTTCAATTAATTATAGGTGTAGGCACATTTGCCATCATGCCCATATGGAGTTCATAGGAAACCTTCAGGAGTCTGTTCTCCTGGGTTCCAGCCATCAAACTTAAGTCTTCATAGGAGCAAGTACCTTAATTATGGAGCCTTGTTAGGATTGCTGGTTAAGTAATTTGTTCTAAAAGACCATTTCAGAAAAAAGAAAAAAAGACCATTTGAGGCACTTGGTTTCTACTGTTTTCTTCAAGAAAAGCACCACGGTTTTCTGTTTAGAATTTGATGTTGTTGTTTGATAGTTTCTCACTGTGTGGATCAGGTTGTGCCTGAAACTCACAGAAAACCTCCCACCTCAGCTTATTGAATGATAATACAAAGAGTATGCACCCCATGCAAGATGACACTGGGGTATTAATAAATATTAGTTTTTGGTTGATTTCTATCCCATCATGCTTTTCTGTTGATTTACACTTTGAGATAAAGTGTCCATCTTACTCTTGATGATTCTGAATTCCTTCATCAAGTCATTATTTCAAATAAGCTTCTGGCTATGGAGGACTCCAGGTTCCTGACAGCCATCTCAGCTCTTTCACACCTGCAACTTATTCATGGGGTGTATTTTTGTTTTGTGTTTGGTTTTTATTTTCTTGATTTGAGACAAAAGCTAATTTGGTAGCCTTTGGCTACTCTGAAATTCCCTATTCACTCAAATAACCAAACACAATAAAACACACACATAGCCACTGAAATCACACACACAGACACACACACAGACACACAACACACACACACACACACACACACACACACACACACATACATATAAACATGTGCTGGCAATAGGAGCTCTAAACCAGTGACCATATCAGGTAACTCACTTCCCCTCCATTGGATGTCTTAGTACATACTGGTATAGCCTTTTCACCAACTAAGCTACATTTCCAGATGATGGCTTCAATATTCAAAGGATACATTTTAATATTTTTACATCTGGTGTAGTTTTGTTTTAATGAGAATTGAGCATTCATAGTAATTTGCATATTAGTTTCTTTGGTTCATTTGAGCTTTTGGAGACAGGGTTAAAATGGGCAAGGCTAATCTTGAACTATATAGCCATTGACCTTGTCCAGGTTTCTAGACTCAACACGCAATTGCAGTTAGTTTCCTCTTATAATTTAATACCCATTTACAGTGTAAAACAAATTTTAAAATATTTGTAAGTTTTCTTTGCTCATCCCCTTTCTTCCCCTAGACCCAATACATCACAGTAAGATCTTTGTCCTTGTAGCTTGCCTCTGCCTCCCAAGTGCTGGTGTTAAAGGTATGCACCATCACCACCAAGCATTGATTCTGTTTTCTTACATCAATTTATTATTCATCATTTACTGAGTAATTTTTCAAGACAGGGTTTCTCTGTGTATCCCTTGTTGTGTGAAATCTCATTCTTTAGACCAGGCTGACCTCTAACTGAGAGATCCACTTGCCTTTGTCTCCTGAGTGCTAGGATTAGAGGTTTGTGCTATCTCTGCCTGTTTTGTTATTCATATCCTTCAAGAATTTATCCTTTTAATAATGAGGCTTAATTTATTAGCACAAGACATATTTTCACAATAATCCAGGGGAAGGCATGAGGGTATGATTCCTTGGAAGTATGATGTGCAATATGTCTCAGACTCTACACTGCATCCTCAGGCTTCCCAAAGAAACAGTATTAGTAATATAATATTTATGAAATAAACATACAAGCAGTCTGTATATAGTGAATATACACTCATAAATGAATACAACGTGTATAGAGTTGGATAAGATAGTAAAAGCAAGCACTGTGTGGTCAACCTCTCCAAACCCAAGGTCACAAGTATCTGTCTTCTCATTCTTTCAATCTCACATCCCTACTTTTCTACAAAAGCATAGAAAACTGATGAGGAAGATTCCAAGATTAGGGACCTGGAGAGATATCTCAGTGGTTAAGAACACTAGCTAATATTCCAAAGGTCCTAACTACAATATCCAGCAATCATATGTTGTTGTACAGACATCTGTAATGAGATCTGGTAGCTTCTTCTGACCTGCAGGGATACATGCAGAAAGAACACTGTATACATAATAAATAAATCTTAAAAATTTGTTTAAAAAATTCAAGATTAGCTTCAAGTTTGAAAACAATCTAAAATAAAAGATTGGGCTGGTGGTGAATATCTATGGTTCCCTGAAATAGGAAGAAAGGCTATAGAATTTTAGAGAGGTAAAAACTAGGCCTAGGTAACACATATCTTTATCTTCTTAAAAAGTGAAGCTAAAATGTAGCCGTGAAACTGAGAGCTTACCTGACATGCTCTAGGCTCTGGGTTCACTCTCACCACCAACAAATGTTTGAAAATCAATCCAAATGGGAGTGGGGATGCACACCTTTAATCACAACATTCCAGCCACACAGATAAGCGGATCTCTGTGAGCTGAAGGACAGCCTCTTCAACTTATTGAGGTACAGGACTTCTAAGACTAAATATAAACAACCTAAAACATGAAGGAAAGAAAGGAAAGGGAAGAATGGAAAGGAAGGAAGGAAGGAAGGGAGGGAGGGAGGGAGGGAGGGAGGGAGGGAGGAAGAGAGATTCACTATCCACAGAGCACCAATTTGTTCCTGAAGTGATGCAGTTTGTTGATTTAACTTCAGGAGCCTCAGCTGAATATGCGAATTGAGCGCAATCTGAGTGGAGAGTGCTTCACTAACTCTACCAGAAAGGCTGTTAACAGTCTCTGCCTTGGCAGAAAATTGGGCCAAGGCAATTCTGGCTGCAGGAGCCACAGTGGCCTTATGGCAATGGCTGGGACAACAGCGGCTGTGATGCCAAAGCCTCCTTTTTGTTGCATTAGGACAAGTTGCATTTCTCCAGGAAAACATACAGGCATAGGTGTAATTCCAGAAACAGGAACCACCAGGGCTGATGTTTCAAGTGGCCGTGTCCTGTTCAAATACTGATAAGGGGCTTTTGCCACTCATCATGGTCCATACCAGTGTCCAAATGTTTCAAAAGGGTACCTTTTCCCAAAGGGAAAAACTGCCAAAATGGATTCTGTTGTTTCAAGGAATGGCAAGGGCAGACTGTTAATCTTCCAGTTCTCTGTTGGCTTCGGGATAAAAACTCACAGTTAGGAGAGGTTGAAGCAGCAGGCCTGTTGAGAAAATGGAAATCTCGAACCGATTGTTTTATTTCTTTACTAACTTTTACCAATTTTTTCAATTCACCCATTTTCAATCCCTTGTCCAACTGAGGGTGATCTCTCAGGTTCCCCTTTCTTTCCTGACCTTGGTGTCAGGCGAATGCCTGGAGATTTAATCCAGTCCAACCATTTCTCTGGGGCTGTCCGGCCTGTGCATTCCTTTGGGCTGTCTGGCTGCATGTTTCTTGAAACTCAACTCTCCAAATCAAGTAATCTCCCCAGAGAGAGGGGCTCAGCAAAGCTGTTGCCAATCACTAGGTGTCAAGTTACGAAACACAAAAGATTCCATTAAGGAAAGTGTAAAGGGAGCCTGTGCTCCATAATTTAGAGTTGAATTTTTAAGTTGGTTTATGTCTTTGAAATTTAAAGGGTCATGACACCGAATAACCTGCCCGGGATTGTTTGGGTTGGGAGCTTCCATTACCAAGGCCACCACTGAGCAGCAATGGAGCCCTCCTCTGGGTCTTCCCTCAAGGTCCAAGAAGGGCTGGGTCATGTCATAGTAGGAGTTCCTTTTTTCAGAGTATGGAGGAGGGTTTCTCTCCCTTTCCTGCCTTTCTTAATTCAACTCTAAAGAGGATATTCAATTCTATAAGGAAAATAATATATTTATTTACTAAGGAGGGAGTCGCACTAGCTAGGAGTTAGAAGCCTGGCTGGCTTCCAAGAGAAAAGGGAGGTTCCTTTTCCCTTCTCTTCCTTTTATAATTACCTGTGTCAGTTTACATGTCCCCACCCTCATGGGCAGATAGCTTTGTGGGGTTCACTCCTACACAACTGTTTTTAGTGCTTTTTTAAGGGCCATGACCTCAGCAAGTAAGCATTCCTTCTCAGATTCTGACGAGTCAGAGTCTAAGCTTCTTCCATTTTCTAGGTTTGAAAGAGAAGGATATAACTGATTCTGACTGGAATTCTTCTTTTTGGGTTGTGCCCTGAGATCTCTACCCATTTTTGTTGTTGTTGTGAAGAGTCTCCTCCTTATCCTCACTAACAATGGTGCCTCTAGTCTTAAGGCAGGGTCTCTTCAGATGATTCATCCTTACTCCCTGCCTCTGAACACAGGGAGGCTCGAGTCTCAGTCTCTTGTAACTCTGAAAATGCTTCTTTTGTGGCCTGGACTACCTGGCATTGGCAAATCTTATCTGTCAAAAGTGCACCCCTCACTAATCCCCATAAGGAAAATGTGGATGGGGCAAGGACTCAGGTCCCTCTTTTTGTAAAAGTTGAATAAGATCACAGCGAACCTCATCCCAATTGGGATATTTAAGCCTCCCCCAGTAATGAACTATGGTTTTGCTATTTCAATCGATTTTAGTAATCCTACTAGGCTTTTTTTCCTCAATCAGTCTCTGGCTGGCAAAGGGACAACCCCGTCAACTTACCTTGCTTTCACGATGTTGGCGGGACCTCCAATTGCTGTGCCCACTGTGCAATCTGTGCAGAGTGTGTTGGGTTGATGACACAGAGACTGGTTGGTGATGCAAAGAAAACTTCAAGAAGGCTTTTCAGAAGGCTGCTCAAAAAGGATTTACTTCATTTTACCCTGGCTGATTATTATATACCCTGACACCAGAGGCGGAGGTGGGTGGGTAAGGAAGAGGCAGTTAGTCTTTGGAAAAGGTCAAGTTCAGAGTGATCCCGTGGATGAGACATCATCAGGAAATTATTGCTCCAGGCACCATATTGTTTTTATAAAGCATTGTATTACAGCTGCCTGCTCCCAGGCTGATGGGGAAGTGGGCTTCTGGCCAAGGTCTGTTGTTCCCACACAACTTGGGCCCTAGGAAATAAATTTATTGTACCCAGCTTGCAGCCAGTACCCTTTAGCTTGTCCTTTTTTGTGGCAAGCTCTGCCACCAAAATTGTTGATAGACAAACCAATGAGAGGTGAAATGGTTCAAAAATTCTCCATTGTTCTCTGCTTCTCCTGGAGAGAAAGGCACAAGGACTAGGTATAGGGACTCATTAGTACATTAGAAAGAGTTCATATTTGAAAGCTTACATTATAGTTCTTAGGGGTCCAATCCCTTAGAAAAAGACAGGAACTTTTGTCCCTCTCTTGGAGGTCCTTATGTGCAGGTGGCCAGCCAGAAGTTGGGAGTCCTGAAGAATAGGACACATAGATTTGGTGGTGTAAATCACAAATCTCAACACCGAGGAAATGGGGGAAAGAAGATCTGGAGTTCAAGACCAATCTTGTCTGTGTGTTTTCAAAGACAGGCAGGGAGCGATGGTGAGAAATTGATGAGCAGTGCACTCTAGATCCCACTCTTTTTCCTCTATGTTGTCATAAGATTGCATTTGCCATCTTTGATGTACCCACAGCACTACCTCCTCCTAGGCGTTTCCTGAATGGTAACCATTGGGCACTCTAGAAACCCTCCTAAGGTAACAAGTCTGAATTGTTCAGCTGAGGTTGACAACTTTGGGCAACCAGTAGCTACACAATCATATGTAACAGAAGCACAGCAGGAAGACAAAAGGAAGGCAATCTCAGAATGGTTTCTGTTCACTTTGATATGAAGAGGTTTTTGGCAAGAACCCAGACTTTATAGGATCTTTGCATCCCTGCAGTCACAGGACTGTCCTAACCAGAAACATGGAAACATGTAAAGAGAAGCTTTTCCTTGCTATCCGCTTTGGTTTATCACCCTCCAGTCACCTGGGCTCTGCGGCATTCTAGTCCCCAAATAAACACACAGGAGGCTATATTAGTTATGAAGCTGTTGGCCTTGCCTGTCCCTTACTGGCTAGCTCTGCTTTAAGTAATTACCCCATAATTGTTAATCTAAGTATGTCTCTTACCGAAGAATAATTCCGGGCTCCTAACCCATGGCGGTTACATGTTGACTCTCCTGTGTTTCTCCTTCCCAGAGTCCTCCTGGACTCCTAGTCCCTCTTATCTAGATTCCCTATTGGCCAGACAGTGCTTCATTGGCATAAGACTTCCCCAACAGAAACAGGCTAATGACTAAGGAGGACAGTAGAGGGATTGCATCCAGGACCCAGATTCTAAACAACTCAAAACAGAGGACAGCTTACCATACTTGTTGAGTCCTTATGACAGTGTGTTCAACTGTCCCATGTACTCCATGCTATCAGTGTCAACCCAGACCCCTATAGTCTGAGCCAACTACACAGCATTTATTTCCAACACCTTGAGCAATGTGTGAAGCTGTGTTCTCTTGGTTCCTGCTGATGACAGACCTGTCCCTGGGTTTTTATTTCTCATTATGCAAAAATACCTCCCTTTATTTGCAGCCAACAAGGACAAAATTGCTTTGTGGAGGGCTGAGGAAGGAACCCAGGGTCCAATAAAGCATCGCAAGTACACTACCTATAGAAATACACTGCCCAGCGCTGCATCCATGCTTCTGAACTCAAACCATCCTCTTGCCTACCTTTCTCCTTTCTCCTTCCTCCTTTCTCCCTCCCCCTTCCTTGTTCTTTTTCTCTTTTTTCAGTTTTCTGAGAACAAGTATCTCTGTAAGTTTGGTTTTGTCGTTTGTTTATTTGTTTTGTTTGGTTGGTTTTTTGGTTTTTTGAAACAGGGTTTCTCTTCGGCTTCGGAGGCTATCCTAGAACTATGTGTGGTAGACCATGCTGGTCTAAAACTCTCAGAGTTCTGCCTTCCTCTGCCCACCCATTTCCCAGGTATTCTGCTTGAGGCTGCATGGATTTATTGCTTCTGGATTTTGTGGTTGTTTACACACTAGCTTTGAAGCAATGACTGCAGCTTGGGCAAGGTAAGCTTACAGTTCTTTTCCCCTGAAAGACCCTATTGCCTTTGGTGGTCCGAATCCAGGGATGATTTCTTCAAGGAACGTCTTGACGACTATTTTGGCTGTCTTATCTCTGGTGGGGAAAGCTTAAACCAATCCGGAAAAATAATCTATGAAGACTAGTAAATACTTGTTACCATACCGAGCTGGTTTGACTTCAGTGATGTCAGTCTCCCAATAGAGCCCTGGTTGATCCCTTTGAAGCCATTGCCCATCATGTGCCTTATGATGATTTGCATTTACTTTTATACAGGGCATGCATGCTGTTACAACCTTTTCTGCCATCCAACGGGCACCTGGGTGGCTTTCATTATCTTTGGGGAGCAGAGTCACCAACATTTTTTGCCCCCAAATGGGTCCACTGGTACATCAGGGCCAGTTTTCCTTGCACTTGCCCTGCTCTGGAGGCTTTAGAGAATGAGGCAGGATTGGGGTGGGAAGTTGCACAACTGCATCTATGGCTACCTTCTTGGTTGCCTGATCAGCCAGATAACTGCCTCTGGCAATTGTAGTCTGGTTCTTCTGGTGCCCAGAGCAGTGTATGATGCTAACCTTAAGAGGCAAC